CATCGCCACTCAGCGCCGTGTACGGACGGCCCCTGGCGTTCTAACACACATCACAGCAACAACCTGGCCTCGCGACCGGGCGGTGAGGGGCGCCGACGCCATTCCGGCGGGCACAAAGAATGCCGACTGGTTCAGGAACGCGGCCGATACTGGCTCGTTGTTCCTTACCCGGCGCAATGCGACATTGAGACCCCAAGCGGTGATGGCGTAGTGGCGCTCGACCCCGGCGTTCGCACCTTTCTCACCTACTTTTCCGAAACCGAATGCGGCAAGCTCGGCCACCACGCCTTCGGGCGCATCCAGCGGCTCTGTCACTGGCTCGACGACCTGATCAGCCGCACTGCCAAGGAACCCAACCGGCGCAAGCGTCGGCAAATGCGCAGCGCACAGGCGCGAATGCGGCAGCGAATAACGAACCTGGTGGACGAGCTCCATTGGCAACTGGCTCGCTGGTTGACCAGCAACTACCGGATCATCCTGCTACCGACGTTCGAGACCCACGACATGACCCAAAGGGCTGGCCGCAGAATCCGCAGCAAGACCGCTCGCATGATGCTCACTTTCCGCCACTTTGAGTTCAAGCAGCGTCTGCGGTGGAAAGCCTGGCAGCGCGGCGCATTGGTGCTCGACGTCAACGAGGCGTACACCAGCAAGACCCGCAGTTGGGACGGCGCCGTGAACACCAAGTTGGGCGGCGCCAAGGCAATTCGGGATGAGACCGGTTTCGGAATGGACCGTGACGTAAACGGCGCCCGTGGGATATTCCTGCGGGCTTTGGGAGACAGCCCCTTCCTGCGTAGCTTACTCACGCAGGTTGCATCGCAAACAACGGCCTCAGCGTAGAACGTTGTTCAGCGTTTAACTGTCGGTCCCACAGCAGCAGAGTGCTCTGGGCAGTCCAATCGAGTTGCAAGCCTACGCTATCGGCGATGGTCACGTGCTGGTGAGTTGGCAAGCGGCTCGCAATGCCGACGCCTACTGGATTTGGTCCTCCAGGACCGATGGGAGCGATGGCCGATGGACTCCTGCCGACGGTACTGCCAACTCGGTGACCGTTTCTGGCTTGGAAAACGGACAGGTCTACTGGTTCATCGCCATCGCCGGTCGTAACCTGGACGGGCAGCAGGAGTGGTCGCTGTGGAGCAACTGGGCCCGTGCTCAGCCGTCCGGCGCTCTCTCCACCGAAAAGGCAGCACTGGTCGCACTTTACATCGCCACCGCCGGAAGCAACTGGATCATCAGCGCGAACTGGCTCAGCGATGCGCCCATCGGCCAATGGTACGGTGTTACCAGTGACGACCACGGACGTGTGGTGAGGTTGGCACTCGCCGGGAATGGCCTGATCGGCGAAATACCACCAGAGCTGGTCAGCCTGACCAACGTTACAAGTCTTGACCTGGGGCGGAACGGATTGACCGGGAACATTCCGGCGGGTCTGAGCACCCTGGCCAACCTGAGCATTCTCGACCTCAGCGACAATCAGTTGACCGGTGAAATACCGGAAGCACTGGCGTCGCTGAACAGCCTGACCAGCCTCAAACTAAGTCGCAACTTTTTCACCGGCTGCGTACCATCCCGCCTGCGCAGCATCGCGGACAACGACCTGAGCGAACTGGGTTTGCCCGTCTGCGACGCCACAACGCTTCCAGGCGCCGAAACGATTGATTTCGGGACTCTCGAAAACGCTCGATATCTGGAACGTCAAATGCCGCGGGCGGCAGCTGCGATAAAGGCTCTGCCCTGGGTTTCGGACGGCATAGCCGCGTCCGAAAAGGCGGCGGTACAGCGATTGCTGTACGTCGCGCCTTTCTATCCGGAGGTTTTCAATATATTGATCCAGTGGCCGTGGCTTCGGGATGGAGTCAATGACGTTGAACTGTCTGCCATCAATGGCATCCACGCCATTGCCTATTACAACGAAGGGATTGCGGTGCAATTCGTCCAGCTGCCCTGGCTTGCAGACGGCGTCTCACCCATGGAGGGTTCCGCCGTCCGTCATATCAGCATCATTGCCCAAATCGACCCAACAGCGGCCGGACGCATCATCAAGATGCCGTTTCTCGCAACCATAGATCCCCCTGACGTGACGGCGTTGCTATCTCTTACTCGCCTCGCCCACGTTGCGCCACAACGTTTCCAGTACGTCATGTCCCATCCGGCTCTGAGCGCCGGGATAACCGACGATCTGGCCAGGATCGTGGCGTTGCTGCATGGCGTGAACGAAACCAATCCTTCCCTGATCGAGACGCTCCTTGACCCTGACCGCGTCACCGTTGAAGAACGCCCTGTTCACCTGCCCCTGTCCGGTCGTGTTGACCTGGCCATCATCCGAACCAGGGCGGGCGCTGAGCTCAGTATGGACTTGCTGGAGCACAGCGTCCAAAGCGCCGAGGCATTAATCGGTGAGCCCCTGCCCACGAACTATGTGGCGCTGCTCTTCGAGAACGCAAGTAAGTCCGGGCAGCGCCGGGACCAACTTTCAGACCCATGTCGCCATCAAGCCAGTTTTTGACGTCGATGACGGCAGTTACCAAGCGGAGCGAGCCGGCCATGTCATTGCCCACGAGGTTTCTCACTATTACTGGCGCAACACCGGCTGGGGAGGCGGAGACGCCGACCCAATCCGGTTCAGGCCGTCGCGCGGGCTGATGCTCGCGTGGTGGCTTGAACGGGGACCAGTTTGGTGTTCTCGGGCGAGATTCCCGGGCGTAGTCGCCTTGAACTATTGGGGCGGCGGCGCGGCTCAGACCGCGTCTTCAGGAATGGACGACGGCGGTTTGTAACCAAAGTCAACCATTTTTACAACGGCGGTAGCCGAACGGAAGTGGTTATCAACACCCAGCTCCAGCTGGCATTTTGATAATCGCCTACTTCCCAGACAACCCAGACTTCCACTGATGCAGCGCTATGCGGAGAAAAACGCTATATAATATCCGCATATTATGCGGAGAATATACATACACCACCTTCCCGATTGGCCAGAGTTGCGGTGGAGCGCTGATGCGTTGGCTACGCTACTGGCCGAGTGTCGTTACCGGCAAGGACGGTTCCTGGGAAGCCTGGCCGATCTGGGGTTTCCCGCATTGGAGATCCCGGCTCTGCAGACGCTGGTTGATGAGGTGGTGAAGACCAGCGAAATCGAGGGAGAGATCCTTGACGCGGCCGAGGTGCGCTCGTCGTTGGCCAGCCGCCTTGGCGCACCTCATGGCGGAGTTCCCGTGGTTGACCGTAGGGTCGACGGAGTGGTAGTCATGATGCTGGATGCCACCGCAGGATTCGCGGCGCCGCTCACCGACGAGAGACTCTTCGGCTGGCACGCAGGATTGTTTCCCACGGGATGGAGCGGCCATTCCAGAATCACAGTCGGGCAGTGGCGACCCGTCGGTTCGGGTCCCATGCGAGTGGTGTCGGCGGGCCGTTTCGGCCGCGAGGTGGTCCATTTCGAAGCTCCGGCGGCAGAGCGCCTACCGGATGAGATGACGGCGTTCTTGGATTGGTTCAACGGGCCGTCGCCGGATGATCCGGTCAGTACGGGCTGGCCTGGCTCACCTCTGGTTCGTGACGATCCACCCGTTTGATGACGGCAACGGGCGGATCGCTCGCGCAGTCGCGGAGATGGCGTTGGCGCGCGCGGACCAGTCCGCCCAGCGGTTCTACAGCATGTCCAGTCAGATCATGCAGGATCGGAATTCCTACTATTCCATACTCGAATCAACGCAACGGGGCAGCCTTGACGTCACGGAATGGCTGGATTGGTTCCTCCGATGCCTTATCGCGACTTTGGAGCGCGCCGAGGAGCAACTGGCTTCGGTGAAGCGTAAGGCTTTGTGGTGGTCTCGCACAGGTGACCTCGGAATTAACGCTCGGCAGCGCGAGATCGTGAATCGTCTGCTGGATGGCTTCAACGGCAACTTCACAACTACGAAGTGGGCCAAAGTCGCCAAGTGTTCCCCGGACACGGCATTGCGGGACATCAACGGGTTGGTAGAGCTGGGTGTCCTCGCACGCAGTCCGGCTGGTGGACGGAGCACGAAATACGATCTGGTATCTGGCTGAAGTTTATCGTGCGCTTTGCTAGGATTTGGCATAATCGTTGTAACCAGCCATAATCTCCCTGTCACCCAGGAAGCAGGGCGGGTGGCCAGTGATTGCCTTGTCCAATAGACGCTTCGCTGGCAGTCGCCGGCCCTGAGGCTGGACTTACATCGCCTCCACGTCCTTTTATCGTCGCCCTTTACAAGCCACACTGTCGCAAGTAAGCGCGGACAGCACGACGTAGCTGAGCAACCTGCTGACACCTCGGCAAACAGTTTCCGCTCCACCAAGCCAGATAGCTCGGCGACAGTTACCAATCTGTTAAAATGTTGATGCGAGGCAACGAAAATGGCTATGATCAACACTGAAGCGGATTTCCTCCGAGCCTTGAGCGAGCACCCGGAGTGGAAAGCATCTGTGCGAGCCCAAATCCTTGGCGAGGAACTGCTGCAACTGCCGGTTCAGTTCCAAGCCTTCGTCCAGCAGCAGCAACAGTTCAACGACCGCATGCAAGAGTTTGTCGAGCAGCAGCGGGAGTTCAACGACCAACAGCGGCGGTTCAATGATCGGTTCGAAGCTCGTATGGATCGCATCGAAGGCGACATCTCCGTGGTGAAAGGCGGTCACGCACGCAGCAGAGGTGTCGATGCGGCGCCCGCCATCGCCGACGATCTGGGCTTGGAATACATCCGAACCGTCCCGAGAGCCGAGCTGGTCGCCATAGCCCGCGCACTGATCGATGCTGACATCACTGCTGGCGACCGACGCAGTTTTAGAGACGCCGATCTGATAATCGAAGCCGCCAGTGGAGCCGAAGCAGTTTACGTCGCGGTGGAGATGTCCTACACGGCGGACCGGCGGGATTTCGACCGAGCTGAGCGATATGCCCGGTATCTAGCGCAGTATACGGGCGGACCGGCCCATGCCGCCGTCGCCAGCGTTAGAAACGACCATGAGCTCCAGAGCCTGATCGACGCCGGGGACATTCACTGGCATCAACTGGCAGAGCGCGATCTGCAGGCGGCGTAACCTCTCCTCATGTCTGTCGTGCTGCCACAATCCCACTCCGAAAACAGAGCTTCCAGCTAAATTTCTATCAACAACCTTTTACTATCGGTCAGCGCGCCACCGAGACGCTGACTTCCCCCGGGTCGATCAGTTCGGCCGGGCCCTGGCCCAGGTCCTCCTGGTTGAAGTTCGGCTGGGATTGTTCCTGTCGGTTGGCCGGCTCCGCTTCGGCATCGCTGGTGCTGGCGCCGTTTTCGTGATCCAGTAGGCCGGTGCTGTGTTTTTCCTGCAGGCTCTGTAGCCCCACGTTCTGCTTGGGAGCCTTTTGGGATAGTTCCAGACCCATTTCCAGCATCATCGCTTCGCCCCGGGACAGCACCCGTCGGCGGCTGGTCCGGAAATTGCCGTCTTCTCGCAGTATCCGCTCGATGCTGGGGGGCACCGGGTGGGCCGGCGTGCCGACGATTTTGAATATGTGCCCGTAGGTGAAATCATCCCGGCTGCGCCACAACGCATTGCCGGGCTGCGAACGCCACCTTGGTACCCGCGTAGGGGCCGCTGAACGTTTCGCGATGGAGCTGGTCCTCTACGTCAGCTTTGATTTCCTCTAGGATTTCGGGTGTGAACGGCAGCACGCAGTAGATGCGCTGTTCGGCTGAGTGGTCGGGCGGCACGAAGAAGCCGGTGTGGTGTTCGTCGTTGCCCGGAGCGGCGATCCGCCAGATGGCCTCTTTGAGCGACTGTACCACTGCGGAGTGCGCCATTTTGCGTTCCGGCGATACTACCTGGTTGCTCCGACGCCGATCCTGTCGCTGATTGATCCGGTAAGGCAGGTCCGTCGCTTCCAGGCTCAGCCAGCGACTGCCGTTGAGGTTGAACATCGACACCGTTTCTGCCACGGTGCCGACCTCAGGCCGGAATCGGTAACAAGCCTCCATGGCGGCCAAGCCGAGGGCCACCCGTTCGTCCAGTGTCTGCAGGGAACCAGAAGCGCGGTTGTCAGTGATGATCGACGATATGGGGCCGACGATGTTCTCAGCCTCGTCCCACAACCGGTAGTCCCGGATGTTCTGTTCCAGCACTCTTTCAGCGGGCATACAGTAGATCGGCAGGAACTTGCTGCCCGGGAATCGGTCGGCGAGGTGTTCGTGGAACAGAAAGCTCAGTCGGGCGTGTCCGCCGAAGCCAATCCATTCCAGGATAATCTGGGGCCGGACGCCGGCCTCGTTGGCCAATCGTTCCATGTCATCGACGATGCGTTCGATGTCGCGCTCGATGGCGCCGTAGTGCGACATAAAGAAGTTCGGTTGTCGCAGGAAACCTTCCGAGAGAGGAAGGTACTCGGGCACGATGCTGAGCTTGTCGATGCCGGACGCACTGGCGGCTTGGGTCCATTGTCGGATATTGGTGGAATTGCAGTCGTAGACCACCAGCGATTGGATGCGGCCCAAGCCGCCCATGGCGTTCATCTTCTGAACCCAGAACGCGGTGCGCTGCATACCGGCGGAACCCACGGCGACCGATGCGATGGGCGCGGGTTCGCGGTCGAGATCCCGCGTATAGATGTCGCCCAGTTGCTCCTGTTGTGAACCCATGTGGTACCGGGCCGTGCTCTGCTTCCGCCGTTCGAAGGGGTTCAGTGCGGCGACGTTACGGAATATAGCCATTTCTTACCTCGTCAGGAGTTTGAGAGGCTGGAAGCTTCTTCCAGCTGGTTATTTGGCCCGCCTCCAGCTTCAACAACTGGACCTCCGATAGATAAACGCTAAACAACGTTCGACGATACGGCCGTTGTCTGCGATGCAACCTGCGTGAGCAAGCCACGCAGGAAGGGGCTGTCTCCCAAAGCCCGCAGGAATATCCCACGGGCGCCGTTTACGTCACGGTCCATTCCGAAACCGTTGTCGTCCCGAATTGCCTTGGCGCCGCCCAACTTGGTGTTCACGGCTACCGTCCCAGACTGCGGGTCTTGCTGGTGTACGCCTCGTCGACGTCGAGCACCAACGCGCCGCGCTGCCAGGCTTTCCACCTCAAGCGCCGCTTGAACTCGTAGTGGCGGAAAGTGAGCATCATGCGGGCGGTCTTGCTGCGGATCTCTCCGGCCGGCCCTTTGGGTCATGTCTTGGGTCTCGAAAGTTGGTAGCAGGATGATCCGGTAGTTGCTGGTCAACCAGCGAGCCAGTTGCCAATGGAGCTCGTCCACCAGGTTCGTTATTCGCTGCCGCATTCGCGCCTGTGCGCTGCGCATTTGCCGGCGCTTGCGCCGGTTGGGTTCCTTGGTGGTGCGGCTGATGAGGTCGTCGAGCCAGTGGCAGAGCCGCTGGATGCGCCCGAAGGCGTGGTGGCCGAGCTTGCCGCATTCGGTTTCGGAAAAGTAGGTGAGAAAGGTGCGAACGCCGGGGTCGAGCGCCACTACGCCATCACCGCTTGGGGTCTCAATGTCGCATTGCGCCGGGTAAGGGACAACGAGCCAGTAAAGGCCGCGTTCCTGTACCAGTCGGCATTCCTTGTGCTCCGCCGGGATAGTTTCGGCCATCCGCAGCGGTCCGAGCATGGTGTGATAGACGCCGTGCTCCGTCACGGCGTCGTCCGGTATGTAGCAGGACTGCTTGGGGTTCTTCCGGCTGCGGTAGCCGAGTTGGGCGAACTCTTCGTCGGTCTGTCGCCGTGTGCCTGGTGGGACTTGAGTTCCAGGTTGAAGGTCTTGACGTTGCTCATGGCCCGGCAGGCGTCCCTGACTGCCGTGCGCTTCACCTGGTAGGGAACCGAGTCCCATTCGGGATGTAGCGCTTTGACTTCCGGCATTACCATGCTGGCGATGTGTTTCCATACTGCTGGAATGCCTGACTGCAGGATCTCGACGGTGAGGTTGTAGGTCCAACGGCTGGCGGTCAGCCAGGTGGCGATAGCCAGCTTCTGGGTGCTCTCTGGATAGACCTGAATCCGGCGAGTCTGTTGCTTGGTGGCGCCAGCGGTGGTGCGCACGGTCGTGGCTGGCACCGCGGCTGTCGAATAAAGTCTGGGCAGGTCTGGGTTGGGGGCCGCGATGCGGTTGGTTGAGAACCAGGAATGGGCCGCGGTGTTGCTGGTCCAGCCGTGTGCTGTATTGATGAGCGAACCGCGGTCTGCGGTTTCCGTAGGCAGCCAGAGGGCAGCGCTGAAAGCGGCGCTGGTCTGGTTCCAGTAAGGCCGGCGGTGTAGCGGGGTCGGATCCTGCGTGGTGTCGCTGGAGTCGGTGGGCCGCTGGTCGGTCGCTTGATGGTTGGTGTTTATCAACATATCTCAACGTTGCTCAATATATTGTGATCGAGACGTGAGCCGTTCACGTCTCGATCCACTCCGAACCCGGTCTCATCGCGGATAGCTTACTCACCACCCAAGTTAGATGCACGTATTATACGCTGGACTTTGTACATTTGGGTGGTGTAGGCGAGGACGTCCAGGGCAATCGCGTTATAAATTGGTAGACTTAGCCAAGCATACGAGTCCAAGGATGGGAAGGGCAGAGGGGGGAGTGATGAGGAAGGGGAAGGGCGCGTCCATTATGGATTATTTCGAGACGTTGGAGGACCCCAGGATCGACCGCTGCAAGCGGCACCAGCTGCTGGACATCATTGCCATTGCCATCTGCGCCGTCATCTGCGGCGCCGACTCCTGGGTCTACGTCGAATTGTTTGGCAAGAGCAAGCTGGAATGGTTCCAGACCTTCCTGGAACTGCCCCACGGCATCCCGTCCCACGACACCTTCGGCGACGTCTTCTCCCGGCTGGACCCGGAGCAGTTCCAGCAGTGCTTCATGGCCTGGACCCAGGCAGTGTCCGACCTGATCCCCGGGGAAGTGGTGGCCATCGACGGCAAGACGGTACGGCGTTCCCACGACCGCAATTCGGGCCAGCGGGCCATCCACCTGGTCAGCGCCTGGGCCTCGGCCAACACGCTGACCCTGGGGCAGGTGAAGACCGCGGAGAAGTCCAACGAAATCACCGCCATCCCCCAGTTGCTGCCAAATGCTGGAACTGCAGGGGTGCATCGTCACCATCGACGCCATGGGCTGCCAGCAGGAGATCGCCCAGGGGATTCTGGACCGGGGAGCCGGCTACGTGCTGGCGCTGAAGGAGAACCAGGGTCAACTGTATGAAGACGTGCGGGACCTGTTCGAGGGAGCGGCGGAGTTCGGCTTCGAGGGAGTGCCCCACGACTACGCCACCACCCTGAACAAAGACCACGGCAGGATAGAACGTCGGGAGTGCTGGACAATCAGCGACCCAGCTTGCCTGGAGTACCTGAGCACCGGGCAGGACTGGCCCGGCCTGTGCTCGGTGGTCAAGGTGGTGGGCCGGCGGGAGACGCCGGCCGGGACCACGGTGCAGCCCCGGTACTACATCAGCAGTCTGGAGGCCCCAGCGGAACGGCTGCTGGGGGTGGTGCGTACCCACTGGAGCATTGAGAATTCGTTGCATTGGAGTCTGGATGTGACCTTTGGCGAAGACCATTGCCGTATCCGCAAGGACCACGCTCCCCAGAACATGGCGACGCTGCGGCAGGTTTCGCATAATCTGCTCAAGAACGAAACGAGCCTCAAGGTGGGCATCCAGGGGAAACGCCTCCAGGCCGGCTGGAAGGAGGACTACCTGCTGAAAGTCCTACGCAGCTAAAACGCGATTGCCCTGCGAGGACGTCGGTGAGTTGAGTGTAAATTGCGGCTGGGGGTTTTCAGCTGTCGGATTTCAACCCTCGACTTTGTACAAAAGTTAGATAAATTATAAGAACAGGGTAAGCTCGACCAAATCACCACAAGAGGTCGTAACAGTTCAGACTTGGTGAGGTGAATTGGCCGAAGGCGAGCTGCCAGACGCTGGCACGGGTGGCGGTGGTTATGTCATATAGAGGGAGTGGATACCGAAATTGACCTGACCACCGCCAGTCGCGATGTTCTCATCGCCATCATCGCCCAACTGCAGGCCACCGTTCTGGAACAGCAGCGGGTGATTGAGCGGTTGCAGCGGCGGATTGCCGAGCTGGAAGGCCAGGCCAAATCGGGTGGCCCACCCCGAATGCCCGGCCACAAGCCCAGTTCGGGCCGCCAGCCGCCAGCGCAGCAGCAGCCCCGCAAGCAGCGACGCCACGGCTTTGCCCGCCGGCGCATGACGCCCACCCACCGGGTGGAGCACGTGATGGAGAACTGTCCCGATTGCGGCGCCCACCGGTCCGGGGGGGTTGGACCCACCGCACTCGGGAAGTCATCGAGTTGCCCCAAGTTCCGGCGCAAGTCGCCGAGCACGTCTACATTGCTCGGACTTGCCACGGCGTGCCGACGGCGTTGCACGCCCCCGGCGGAACTGGACGGCGTGGTACTGGGCCAGCAGCGCCTCGGCGTCAACCTGCTCAGCCTGGTCGCCACGCTACGGGAAGAGGGGCGGCTGCCCTTCCGCACCATCCAGCGCTATCTGGATACCGTACATCAACTGCGCGTCAGTGAGGGCGCCATCGTCGGGGCCATTCGTCAGACGGCGCAAAAGGCCCAGCCGATGGTAGCCGGCATACTGGACCACATCCGCGCCAGCCCGATGCTCCACGCCGACGAAACCGGCTGGCGTCAGAGCGGGGCCAACGGCTACGTCTGGACTTTCAGCACCCCCACCGAGCGGTATTTTCTGCGGCGGGGCCGGGGCAAGACGGTGGTGGATGAAGCCCTGAGCGATGCTTTCTCCGGAGTATTGGTCAGCGATTGCTACGCGCCTACCACCATTACGATGGCCCCAAGCAACGGTGCTGGGCCCACCTGCTGCGGGACATCCACGACCAGCGCACCCGCTACCCCAAAGACGCCGCACTGGCCAGGTGGGCCGACGCCGTCCACGGGATTTACGACCAGGGCCAAAGCCTGCACTCATCCCCAGGCCAGCGGCGGCGCACCGCCCAACTGGCCTGGACGACAACTGCTGGCCCTCGGCCAACCCTTCCGGCACGACCCGTCGGCAACCCAGGCCAAGCTGTGCCGACGCATTCGAACGCCACATCAGGGAACTCTTGTCTTGTGTGCCGACCGGACGTGCCAGCGGACAACAACGCCGCCGAGCGCAGGCCGGCGCCACCTGGTCATCAGTCGCAGATCAGCGGCGGCACCCGCTCGGAGCAAGGCACACAGAGCAAGATGACCTTGGCCTCTCTCTTCGGCACCTGGCGCGCCCAGGATCTAAATCCTCTCGCCGCCTGCCGTCAACTGCTCATTTCCCCTCCACTCTGAACTGTTACGTCTCTTTCCCTTGCCTCTCATCCCTTGCCTGACCAACATGGCTACATCCCTTCGGTGGATTCGGGCCAAACCGTCGTTGTAATACTAGGGGCGGAAGCTGTTGAGCATGGTCTGCCGCTCCGTGCTGTAGGTGCCAAGGCTGTCCTCGCATATGCCGCTGCCGGTGACAAACCCATAGGGTTTGTTGGGGAATGAGGAGGAAACGCCGACCAATTCAACGTAGTTCAGGATGCACAAGCCGGGTTCCCACCGCGCTCCATACTCCAGCCGATAAAACTCCAGCCCGCCCACGTTGACTTTGATCTTGGAAACTTTCTGGAAATAAGACCAGTTTTCCGCGGCGTAGTCCGGCAACGCGGTATCCCAATAGTAATTGGCCAGAAGGGAAAGCTCCGCGCTTCTGTCCTGGTACGGCGCAATTGTTTGGTAGCGCACGATATAAGTGCCGGTACGCCTTCCAGTGTAAGGGAGGAACGTGGAATATATCGGTAATTCACTAGCGATGTACCATCCCCGGGGGATGTTCATGCTGTAGCCGTAACCGAACCGGAGGTTGCGGTAGGTAGCCTCTAACGGTCCCCCGGACACCAGAGTGTTCAGCCGGTTGCTTACCTCGTTGCTGGCGATGGCCAGGTAGATTCCGGGAACGGGAATACGGGTGCCGTCTTCTGCGATAATTGCAAGTCCGGCGGTGTTCACGCCGACGACGCGGCCGTAGGCGTCGACCATGGGGCCGCCGCTGTTGCCCGGATTGAGCGTGGCGTCGGTCTGGAAGTAGTTCGTGTCATCAAAGGTTCGGTTGAGTGATGAGATGATGCCTCGGGACACGGAGGGTTCGCTACCCCAGTGCGCTGCCCAATGGATAGCCCCACGCGGTTACTGCATCGCCAAAGGTAACGGCGCTCGAGTTGCCCAGCGGCAGCGTGGCATAGGTTCGGCCGGCTGGCAACTGTATCACCGCCAGGTCGGACAGGATGCCCCGGCCTAACACGCGGCCGGTGAGTTCCAAGTTCCGCCCGTCTGAGGTGCTCATCCGCGCCGTCACGGTGCCGGCGTCGTCAACCACGTGGCGGTTGGTGACGACCAGACCGTCAGAGCGTACTACGAAGCCGCTGCCCTCGTAGGTATTCCCGTCGGAGGGGGTTACAATAAGATGCGCCAGAGCGGGCTTGACCCGGCGGACCAGTTCCGCGTTGGAAAGCGGCTCCGCCACAGGCGCGGCGGTGGGGCAGGTTCCGCCCCGGTCAGTGACCGTAAGTTTCTGCCAGTATGGTTTGTCGGGCCAGGTGGGCTGACCGAAGCGCGCGTTGTTGCTCAGCACCGTAAAAAGCGTGTTGGACGCCCTCGTCCAAACGGCGGAAGGTGTACACCTTCCGGTCAAAGTTTTGCGCTTCCGTGTCAACGTACACGAAGGCTCCCCGCCAGTCGCCGGTGCGGCTGGCTTTGGCAATGGGGTAGTCCGTCACCATGTTGACGTAGCCGATGCGGTAGAAAGTCGCCTCCGGCGGGGCATCCCAGGTGATGATGACCTCACCGGGATTGTGGCCGTTAACTACCTGGATGTTGGTGGCTGCTGGAGCTCCGGCCTGCGCCGTTACCGGCGCGGCGCAACCGACCACGGCAGCCAGGATGACGACAAGGAACAGGAGGACCAACGTTTTGAGGAACTTTGACAAGATAGGCTCTGGGATCGGGGCACAGCCGCGCGGTTAGCGGGCTATGCTTTCCCGGAACATTTCACGGTTGAAGTCCGAGTCTTGGGGACGGTTGAGGTATCCCGGCTGGTGCTGCAGCAATTCGGGAGCCTCTTGGCTGCTGGGACGCTGGTTTATACCAGTCCTGGAACGTATCCGCTTCGTCCTGGGTCATCACGTCCTTATACACCGCCTGGTACAGCAGCCAGTCCACGGTTTGGGAATCGGCGGTCATCGCTTCTTCCACAGTGAAGGGACCCATCCCATCGGGCCGGCCGGCCAGCCATTGCGCCAGGGCGTCGGAGCCGTCGGATTCGGATGTGACCTGACCGACTCCGGAGCCGGGTTCGTCTTGCGGCGGTTGCGCTTGCGCCGGCGGAGCCGGGAGATCGACGGCAAGGCCGGGATCCGTGGCGTCAGCGACCGATTGCTCGCTCAATGGCGGGAGTTCGGGCTGTTGGCGCTCGTTGGCCGCAAACAAGGTGCCGGCGGTCAGGGCGACTGCCAGCAGAATCGCAGCGGCGACCAGCGCCAGCCAATGTTTGCGGAAAGCGGAATTGACGATCGTCATGGGGCGTTATCCTCCACGAGGCAGTCGACTGAGGTGACTTTGGATTCACCACGCCAGCCGTGCCGTGGATTATAACTTGGGCTTTGCACATTGCAAGCCGCGTAGGCGAGTGGTAACTGTTCAGGCAACTGTGTGTGATGTCAAGAGGAAGTAACGACGATTGC